AACACACCAATCTTCATCACAGAAAATGGTAAGGTCCAAATTCAGATCTTTCATCAAAACATGACGCCGCACGGCAACACCCCCCCCCCCCCCCCCCAAAAAAAAAAAAAATCTGGTGTGACAAAGATTCCTATATAATTTGATCTTGTAGGGTTTGGTGAGGTAGGGAATCCGAATTCCTGCAATGAAGAATTACTGAATGATGTCAAGAGAGTGGAGTACATGAGGTCTTACTTACATGCACTTGCAGAAGGAATTAGGTTATACACTGGACTGCCCTAGGGCTTGCATTCATTTATTGGATTTAAGTAATGTTAATGTCACCTGCATTTAGAGAGATTATTGCATGCATATTACGTAATAGTGTATACAATAATGTTCCTTTTTTAATGGCCAAAATGTCATAGTGCGAGTGACTTTCAATATGTATACACCAGTTATATGCAGTAATTTTTTATATGGTATTAGCATTGTGATGTTTTGGTGAATCTCAAATCTGAAACACAGTATCAAATCATCAAATGTCGAGAAAAAGTTAATTGATTTTTTATTTTATTTTATAAATATGGTCAGAAAAGGAGCAGATGTAAGAGGGTACTTGGTGTGGTCGTTGCTGGACAACTTCGAGTGGACGAGTGGCTATACGGTTCGGTTTGGACTTCACCGTGTTGATTACGCCACTCAAGAGGACTCAAAGACTATCAGCAGCTTGGTACAAGCAATTTGTATCTAATCATACGGTGCAAACACACCTACCCACAAACTGAATCTTGCACCAACAAATCTATGTCCACAAGGATCCTTATTCGCTATTGTTGTTGACATTCTTTCCCAAGATCCGTCCAATCTTCCACAACGATATATAGTGGTTTTGCTTAGAGCGGTCTTCCACAATGATATATAGTGGTTTTGCTTAGAGCGGTGGCAGTAGTTTTCATGATTTAGGATTGCACACTATTTTAGGGTTTTGGTAATTGTGGCTTGAGATAAACATTAACTACCACATTTAAATCACTTCTCTAATAAAACTAAGATAAACGTGCAAGTAGATTTCATCTCTATTAGAGGAGAAAACTTGTGTGGGGCTTTGTTTGCCACTGGACTTTGCTGAATGACACTACAACCCACTCAAAACTCGTCACATGGCCAATCTTATAATTTTTTTTTATATTTAGAACTCCCATAATTATTTTTTTACTAATTATTATACACTATAAGATTAATCTAATAGTTAAATTTTTTTTTTCCTCTTAGATATGCATTTGAGTGTTTAAATTGGAATGCCTTTTAACTCTCTGCTAAGTAATTGAGTTTTTGTAATCATTCAAGTATCTTTTGGAGCAATCAATTATGAAGAAGCGCCATAGTTAAGCAGTCTCCCACAACATCAAGAAGAGGCAAAATACTGTTTCCATGATTCTGGAGTTAGATTAGATGTCTGCTTTACAATGATAAAAAACAAAATAGTTGTGAAACAGTATTTTGTGTAAAATATGGATATGTAATCGGTTTTTTTTATAGCAGCATCAGTCATTTTGACCAAGGGGCATTTCAACGTGACATTTGGAAATTGATAGCTCGTCTTCGTTATGTTCCTTAAATTAGCTAGTGTCATAATACTTGATTCAAATATTGTTATTCAAGTATAAATGCTTTCGTAGTAAATCGAATTATTACATTTATAGCAGGAAATGAAATCCCACATCCGTTGTGCTATGATTCAAGCATAAACATCTGCCTCCATTTTGTTGCCCTTGTGACAATATTTTTACAAAGAAAGAAAAAAACAAAGAGTAGGAAAGAAGACGATAGAGAAAGTTTGGGAAGAAATTAAAAGGAGAGAGAGAAGAGGAAAAAAAAATGAACCACTAATTAAACTATATGGTGGATATTAATTAGTAGGAAAAATGATTATAGGAGTTTTAAATATAAAATATTATATTTAAGATTTGTCATGTGGTGAGTTTTGATTGGATTGTAGTGCTACTCAGCAACGTCCAGTGGTAAGCGAAGCCCCACACAAGTTTTTCTTCTATTAGAGAAGTAGTTTATATGTAGTCTACAAAATGTGATATTTCTTACATTTTCCAATTTTATAGTGTGAGGTTGTTTATTCTAATTTTTTTTTAGAATATAGTGCTCTTGGAGCTTTCTATTTGATTGCATTGAAAGGAGTCTAATATTGCCTTGTTTGCAATATTTAGACGTTTATCTTATACCTATTTTTTAGAGCGAAGTTAGAGACACTATCTACTTGAACTATATTTTGTATACCATATGATGTAACAGTTGATAGTTGGATTCCTTGTTTAAATCATTGAAAAAGTTATTCAACCAGCAATCACCATATTATATGATTTACAAAATATAATATAAAACATAATCTCTCTAGCATTTTCCTTTGTTTTTTAATACAACGATATATTTACAAATATATTTACACTTAAAGGTAGGGAAATCAAGGTGGTGCTTTACCGGAATGTCGGAAATCAATCATGCAATGTGGGTTTGAATCTCATAGACTCCCTTTCCAACTAACAATGAACTGTATAACCCACTAAGGCCTCGTTTGGCAGCTCGGACTGTACTGACTATTTCAGTCGAATAGGACAATTTGTCATCGGATAGTATTGACTATTTAGTCGAGCGTACTAACTATTTAATCGGGCGTTTGGTGCAGTACCAGATTAAAAACTCAATTCATCAAAGATTATCATGTTCATTTACTTCCTCAAAAGGAGATTGAAGAACATTTATGGCACTTAGTTTCACAATTTAAAACTAGCAAGAGAGATGGAAAAAGAGCCAACTTGATTTTGTTTTCAGCGACCCGACTAATTAATACCGACGATTTGGAGTGTATAAGTTATCTGGCCTACGTCGTATAAAATAGACCGGACCTCATAAATAATCCGGTGCTAATTTAATACGGAATGGCACCAAACACCAGATAGTATTAAATAGTACTATCCGGTGTGTTATCCAACATGCCAAACACGCTCCTACCAATTTACTCAAAAAAAAAAATAGGAAAATTAATTAGTTTGATGCATTTCCGATTCCCTTGCCCTCAGGGAATTCAAATACCTCACAAAACTAGGGAATCCGGTTCCTCCAATTTCAAGAATTGGATTCCTTTTTTCGTGTGGGCTCCACCACTTTTTTGATTCCTTAATATTTAGTAAATACCGGAATACTCCGTAATCGGAATTCAATTCCCTTTCTTTATTCCGATTACCCTTACGTAAACATGCCATTAGTGCGCCCGTTCCGATTCCACCATTATCTGCCTCTCCTTAAAGTGGATCTAGTTTATTGAGTATACATATATTTTTACATTAAAGAAATGGAGAATTCGGTTAAACCACACAATGACATCTTAATTTGATATCGAATTTGTCATTCAAGAGATTTGAAAATAAGACCTCTCACATCCAAATAAAGAAAAATACCACTAGACAATAGTATTGAGTGGCTACAGTAGATCTGGTTTTACTATTGGATTTTTGTATAAAATTATATGATGGAAGCCCCGCTTATCGCATTTTGATTAAGTTGTTTCGTGGTTAAAAAAAGCCATTCTAGAATATATGATCATAGTAGACTTTCCTTTGGTTTTTGTTTTTGTTTTTGTTTTGTTTTGGTTTTTTTTTTTTAGTACATCGATATGTTTACATTAGGAGAAGGAGAAATTGGTCACGCAATGTGCAACCTAATTTGGTATCAAATTCGCCATCCACGAGATTTGAACCTAAGATCTCTCACTTCCAAATGAAGAAGAATACTACCAGACCATAATACTGAGTGACGACTTTCCTTTGTTAAGAGCTTAAAAGAGTTGATTTGTTGGAATGACATTTTAAAACAAAATGTGAAGATTACTCTTTTAAAAGTGAGACTCCCAATAAATTGTTTGTCACTTTATGTTTTTTAACATATTTTATAATATTAGTACGAAAATTGACATTAAACTATGATGTGACTAAAAATTCATAAAAATCTAATTTTTTAAAGAGTCATTTCTCTAAAAAAAAGTTGTCGGTTTCTGATTATTTATAAGCATACATAATATGACTATTAAATTCATTTTCCAAATGCTGTGGGCGACGCATTTCCATGTATTCAAATATAAGACTGTAGCATTCAACCCCATATGCTTTAAAGTAGATACACATCTACCATTATTTTATCATTTGGTGAGCCCAACCAACGCTTGATTAGATTAGGGGAGGAAAAATTGCTGAGAATAAACAAATAACTTATGAAATAAAAGCACGTTGATTTTAAGAATGCACTGCTAATTAAGAAAATTATTTCTCTCCACTTGCAGCAAAACGCCTAACGTACACGTCTTTTCTGCGTACACTAGTGTCGAAAGATTTTTCAATGTGACCGGTTGTACATCATGTCATTATATAAATAGTAGGATATGTGTGCTAAAAAATTAATAACTTAAAAAATAAAATTTCTCATCACTCCTATATTAAAACACATGATGTACCCCTTATGTTCCCGTCACAACTAAAAATTTCTCACTAGTGTCAATATAAAATTACATTGACATTTGCAATTTCACATGTTATAATTTGGTGTTATTATTGTCGTTCTAAAAAATTATTGAGCATTCCTTATAAATTTAAGTTTTATTTATAAGTATAGGAAATTTAAAGTGCGTAATAAATTCTTTTAGAAGGTGAATTATAACTTTTTATAAATATGTAATGGAATAAGATTTTCCTCTCAATGTGTTTTTCATGCGCAATAAACCTTTTAGAAAGTTAATAATAACTTCTTATAAATATACAACAGAATATAATTATCTTCTCACCAAATACTTTCTTTTTTCCTCATCTCCTCTCACATTTTCTTTTTTATCTCACACTTTCCTTTTTATCTTTCTCTTTCTACAAATAAGTCAATACAAGATATTGATGTGGTTTAATCATAACCGTTCAAATAAAAAAAATACTAGAAAACAAAAAAAAAGGAAGTTGATGAAGGGAGAATCCTACTCCTTTAGTCAACAAATCATGTGTGTGTGTGTATGCTAAGTATATTTTCCAGGCAAAATGGTTATCTCACTTGGGGAATAGCTGTTTGTTCAATGCTTGAGAAAAGGACATAAATATTCTATGACAAGCTCAGAATCTCCATCCCAACTAAGTATTCACAATGGCCGTGAAGACACAGAGAAGAATCTTATCAGACAAGAGCAACCTTCCAGTTCAAGAGGCGGCTGGAGTGCTGCGATTTTCATCATCCGTAAGTAAACCTTTTCATTTTCTTACAATTATTCAATTCAGGCTACTGTTTTTCTTTTTGGTAATTTATTTTCTTGTTGTAGTTGTTGAGGTGGCAGAGAGATTTTCTTACTATGGCACGGCTGGAAACCTCGTCACGTACCTCACAAATGAACTCCATGAGCCCATCCCCAAGGCTGCAAAAAATGTCAACACTTGGGTTGGAGTTTCATCTCTCCTCCCAATAATTGGGGGCTTCGTCGCGGATGCCTTTCTTGGTCGATTCAACACCATTCTCGTCTCATCGATCATTTATTGCTTTGTACGTATTGTCAAAGCTTGACAACTTATAATATTGACTGATTATACTACTAATTGCATCAATATCTTTTGTATACAAAACTCCAGTTTAATTCAGAAATTTCAGAAATTTCATTATTTACTACCAGTTTAATTTCAGACCACGATTGCTAACTTTTCAAGTTAATTTCAGGCAATGGTAATGTTAACCGTAACAGTTTCCATAATTCCTCGGCGTTATCAGAAAGCAATGTTCTTTGTATCACTTTACACATTGGCAATTGGTCAAGGTGGCCACAAACCATGTGTACAAACCTTTGCTGCCGACCAGTTTGATGAAGACTTGCCGGAGGAGAAGAAGGCGAAAAGCTCATTCTTCAACTGGTGGTATATGGGGATCGTTGTTGGTGCCTCCACTGCTATTTTGGCAGTCATATATGTGCAGGTCAGCATAGATCATATTTACAAGCACAGATAGGGGTTTTCTGAAATTTTAGGCGCATAAACTCAAATGTTGTTTTAGCATCATTAGTTTAGTGAACAAATCCGAAAAATTATGAATCTTAGCTGTAACAGTTTTTCATTTTCTTATATGTGAGACGACTCTAAACCTCATTTATTTATTAAAAGTAAGATACGAGTATGCAACTTGCTTAGTGATTTTAGAAAAAGAAATTGGTGAATGGTTATTGAAGTGCCGAAACCCAAAATTTGTGACTATGCTTTGGTGCAGGATAATGTTGGGTGGGCGGCGGGGTTTGGAATAATGACAGGGGCAATGGTGGTGGCATTGGTTCTGTTTCTGTTGGGTTACAAGAGATACAGAAAGCAGGGACCCTTAGGCAGCCCCTTCACCAAGGTGGTTCAGGTGTTAGTGGCGGCAGCAAGGAAGTGGCGCGTGGATGGAACACTCATGACTGGTTTTGGTGTGTACAAAGATGACGAGAGTCAGCATGATACTAGGAGGACTTTAGCACATACCAGTCAATTCAGGTATGCTCACAGGCCACCATATTGATAAGCTCTATCTTATTTTTTAGGTGCAATTTTATAAACACTAAACTTCACTGTGATGACACCTCTTGAGATCCAAATAGATAAATTTATAAATTATATAAATCAGCATGGAACTTTATGTCTACCACATGACACCTTATCCCTAACTTTATACAATATCTAATTTTTTTAGATGCTTGGATAAGGCAATGATCATTGACCAACTTGATGCTTCAAGCAAGACCAGAAATCCATGGAGATTGTGCTCACAAAATCAAGTCGAACAAGTAAAGCTCGTCCTACGCCTCATTCCCGTATGGATGTGTTGCTTAATGTTTGCTGTAGTCCAATCCTTTAGTGTAACCTTCTTCACAAAGCAAGGAAGCACAATGGTCCGCTCAATTGGTTCGAACTTTAAGATTCCCCAAGCATCACTTCAAGTCTTCAATGGCCTCACGATTATAGTTGTCATTCCAATCTACGACCGTGTTTTCGTCCCAGCAGCCCGAAAAATCACAGGACACTCCTCTGGCATCACCATCCTACAAAGAATTGGCATTGGCCTATTTGTATCCATATTCACTATGGTTGTGTCAGCTTTGGTAGAAGCCAAAAGGGTTAGCATTGCAAGAGACCACAACCTCCTGGACAACCCCAAAACAATAGTGCCAATGAGAGTGTGGTGGTTAATTCCACAGTACATGATATGTGGTTTGTCTGATGTATTTACATTTGTTGGACTTCAAGAATTCTTCTACGATCAAATGCCAGAGGAAATGAGAAGCATGGGAGCAGCAGCATACCTCAGTGTGGTAGGTGTAGGAAACTTCATGAGCAATGCTATAATATCTGCGGTGCAAGAAATTAGCTCAAGGCATGGTGAAAAATGGCTTGGTAACAATATCAATCGTGCCCATCTCAATTACTTTTATTGGGTAATTGCAGCTTTGAGCACTTTTAATTGGTGCATATATGTGTTGATTGCTAAACTTTTCGTATACAAAAAGTTTGAAGCACAAGAAACCAATAAGGAGAAAGAGCTCACTTGAAGCTTATGATCTATCTTGCAGTTAACATAGACAAAAGTTTGTACTACTATTTTGTAAAATACAGTGGAAGCCTCACTGCATCAACATTATATCTCTTTCCTCATAAGTTCTATAGCTAAAAATCCAGATATTCGAAATTATACTACAGTGCTTGCAGACATAAGCATTTACAAATTATCTAACTGTTGACCCTAAAAACTATGAAGCCTACGTGGCGCGCAGGCCGAGTAACTAATGAGCTAACTATGTCCTTCAGTTGTATGCGTGCGTGCCAACTCGTCGGCTGAGCTCGGCCGAGGAGTAAAATATGTTGATGTTGCGTCGGATGCGCTGCTGACTTCTTGATCTTGTGATTGCAGCGGAGGAAGAAATACGTCTCAGTCTTCGGGTTCTAGAGCCTGAAGACAATGCTACTAGTTCTACGAAGTTCACAAATCGTTGGTGTCGGATTCAGTCACTGTGATTATATTTGTAAGAGTATAAGCACGATGAATCGACACCAGACTATATGGACACAAGTATTCAAAGCAGATGTACGTCTTAATCGTAAATGTGGTTGGGCCGTCGGAATGCCGAACTCTAAATCCAACTTGTGAGTATCAAATCATAAAACAATTCGGCGTTCAATGCACTGAGTCTAGTGATTCGTAACACCTTCCTTTGCCAAGAAGGCTCGTGAGATGACCTCTGCCAATAAGGATTCGAAAACCCTTCTCGATCGAGACTTGGATAGATAACCAATCGGCCTTGACGCAGTGCTGTTTATCTAAATTGAAGGTGATTCGCGGTCGGCTAATTCTACGGCGGCATTGCTGTTTATCCAAACTAAAGATGTTCACCAGTTGCCTTCACAATGTTGTTTATCCAAATTGAAGATGTGTCGGCGGAAAAGAAAATGAAAAATCTCAAGGTTGTTGAGAGATTTCACGTAGAGCGAGAGTTTGCGTAGGGCAGTTTGTGTGTTGAGTTGGAGACCTTCTGTTACAACGCACCTTGTATTTATAGTATTCATATTTTCTAGTTGGCAAGGTCTAATAATATTGTAGAGTCCAACTGCAACTCAAACTCGCGGAGCAAAAATTGATCTGTGTCAGATGCCTATCCTTCAAATTGCCATTCGTGACTTTTCAAACAAAGCAAAAACCTATCTCTTATCACATCATAATCAGAACTCCCATTAATGTCTTGCTTTATCCCATTAAGACTCCCAATGCAACCATAAAGCTTTCTTTTTCCATGACATCTATCCAGGTGGAACCACGCATGCAATGTGCAATGTGAATTGCAATATGTCACTGTAATCCAACTCTTGCACGGCATTAGTCAAACACCTAGCCAATCTCATCCATATCCCCTTATTTTCTTATCTAACAAACATTTAATTTTGATGAAAATTATTGTTTAACCAGATAGAAAGGTTAACGAATATCCCTTTCGAATGTCACTCTTCATCATCCTTACTACTTCAAAACCATCTGATTAAATACCTTGCCGCAAGAGTCTCGAAGTTGGAGATATCGTTTGCATCTCATTTATCTTGTTGTGTAAGAAAATATCAAGATGAATCCCATTAAAAGATAATTATTATGATAAAAACCATAATATTATCCTTTAATAATAACAAAATTATCTTCACTCTTCCATCCAACGATTAAGAGTTCTGCTCAATTAACGGTCTTGATTGCACGGACCGATGGTGTAAATTTGAGTCCAAACACTAACATTGATCCTAACGTACACATGAGGAAAATTTTCAGTGTGCCGGAATCATCAATTGTATTATGACACTTGGTGTACCAGACCATGTTTCCGGCACACTAAAAATTTTCACATAGACTCATTAATTAACCTTACATGATATTTACAAAATAAATAACATCAATCCTAACGTAGGCGTGGACTAATCATGATGACTAGTTATGCATGTGGAGATCATAAACAACCGAAATTAAGCGTTTGAGCAACCGATCTAACAGTGTTCTTCATTGGAATATAAGATTAAATATAATTTAGAATTTGTGCGTTGATGATAATTTATGGTGATTAATCCTTTGAATGATTCGATAAAAAGGAAGTTGGTTATTGTTACTGTTTCCTCGAATCCTTGGTGATTTTTTTTTTTCAAAATTACAAATGTACCAAATTATTATATTGTGATTGGTTAACCTGTAGATTTGGATGATCTTTTTCAAAATACACGTGATTTTATATACGTAGAGTATACCTGTACAATGCGTATAGGGAATCTAGAGATGCAGCAATCAACAAAACATAAAAGATAAAACAAACCTAATTGTCCCCTAGGGGACATGGAATGGATGAATGTCGGAAAAGAAACATAAAAAAGATGAAAACAATCGCATCCCGTAATAGAAGCTAAAGCATTGAACAAAGCTATTTAATTTTGTTTTGTCCTCCATTTCATGGCAGAAGGGGAAACCCTCACATGGGTAACGGTTGGCGTTTTAATTTTTATTCTTATATTTTTTTATATAAGTAATGTTATTCATATCATGTTTTTGTACCACATTTTTATATTATCTTGGGTGGCATTTGATGTGGACAGTTACATCATTTGAATTAATCAGATTTTTAAATTTAATTCATTATTTAATAAACTAATAATTAAGAAAAATTAGTTAATTAGATGATGATTGTGGTATCAGTGGTGGAGCCAGAAAACCAAATCAGGAGAGGCCTTTAAGCCATAGAAAGATTAGCCTTTGAAATATAATTAATGGGAGAAAAATTAAAGGTTTTGTTTTTTGTATTGGCATGAAAATTTTTAATCAAACAAGAATGGTGGAGCTTTAAATTTTGTATGAAAAACCTAGTCTTGAAATGAATATATCATAAAAACAAAACTTGTTTACAAGCCTTGATAACAAAAATTAACACATTGGAGTCGTACAAAAACTTAAAATCACTGACTTAAAATTAGATTTTGCTCTAGACTGTATTAACCTTTATTTTATATCGACTAGCCAAAAAAGAGAGTATGGTTTTTTTATATATTACAAAAATAAGACTTAGTTTTAATATGGTAAAAAAAAGGAGTTTTAACATAAAGTTCGTGGTACTATTCACTTTAACGAAAAACCACATTTTTACACTAAAAAGTCAAATTTGGTACTATTCATTTTACCCTTTATTTTGTCCTTATCGTTAAAACTCAAAGTTTTCAAGCCATTTTCATTAGTTTTCCTAAAAAATAAGGCAAATTATAAGAATCCTTTTCTTCTTTCAGTTAAAAAACAAATCTAAAAAAATTGCTGGACCGCTAGGAAGGCTCAAACCCAGGCTATTTGGAATTGTAAAATCCCAGTAGCCAATGAACCACATGCTCATTTTTGTAAAATCTTGCAGAGAATACATACATAAATAAATTTTCAGGGTAGGCCTGGGCCATCACTGGCCTCTATGTGGCTCCGCCACTGTGGTATACGAGAAGTTTTTCTCTTTCTTTTTTTTGGGGTTTGCAAATTTTTCAAATGATGTAGCTGTTTAAAACAGATATCACCTAAAATGGTATAGAAATGTGATACGAATAACATTACTCATTACTCTTTTGATATAGTATGCATGAGATGCTAGCACCCTTTTAACTCTAAGTCAAACGATACACAACAACAGAGTCGATTGCCTCAAAAAAATAAATATTGGTAAGAGTTCGAACTTCGGTTGCCGACCCGTTAATTAATCCTAATCCTTAGTTATAAAGAAATGCGTATTATACAATCTGCAATTCCCATTGAATAGTCCAATCGCAGCCAACAGTGGAACCTATTTCCAGAAAGAAAGAAAAAAAATGGAAAAAGGGTGGAGATAGAGAAAGAAACAAAACAAACCCAAAAAAAAAAACCGAAATTGGAGATGGTGGGAACTCTGCGACTACGACCGTCGCACTCATTGATCTGAACCAGTTTCCAGATGCACATGAGCACAAGAAACTGAGGGAAGCGTCTGATGTTAAATTATTATAGCCAAGAACTGGATTCAGTTGCAGTAATCACAACCAAGTAAAGCACAGAAACCTTTCCCATATAAAAGCGTTGCAATTCACTAATATGATGAACCTCCACCTGAAGATGCCATGAATGCTGCAAACCGATCTCAATGCACTGTAACTCTTCTCCTCTCTGTCAGATTATTTCAAGCTCTAACAAAGTATAGGGCTTAGTTCCGAAGAGAGCACACATCTGTGAGAGCAGAGGTCACAATATATATAGACACACATATCTCATTCTCATAACTCAATAAGGATTCCCTATTAAAATCCTTATAGAAAACAACTTATGACTTCTAAATCATATCAGTTTAATGTCAAAACAGAATCCTTCATTAACAAGAATTAGTATACAACTTCTCATAAGGCTTTCTTATACCAATTGGACTTAATCACCCGCTGTCAAAACATCCAATCTCAAGTTCATACTCTTACATTGAGACATGGGGTTGCTTCAGGCTTGCCAACCATAGGATCGAACCGAGCCTGATGGCAGAGATGAAGACTGTGGTCAGATGTTTGCTTGATCTACCCATGGAGATGAAGATACAGAACAAAGATGTCATTGCTGGTAGTGGCTACGTGGCAGCCTCTATGAGGCTTTGGGTCTTCATGACTTGGGAGTTGGGATCATCTCAGGCTGTGCATAGCTTTTGCTCTCGGCTGGATGCCTCTTCCCACCAGAGGTTGGTTTTTTTTGCTCCATTATACTTACTTATCCTCCATGATATTCTAATTAATTTAATCTACAATATGAGGAGGAGGGTTTGAACTTTAGTGCAGAGGGGAAGCAATCTGTTGTAGCCAATTTAGGTGTATGTGCATCACGTTCATTATATTTTAATTAAAAACAGATGTGCACTGGTAATCTATTGGCACCATTGATATCGACACATTATCAATTGCATCTCTTTAACTCTCCTTATCAAGATGATGTCGATGGGTATCTCTTATTAAAACAACAGGACTTTTAGAGAGCTGAGCTAATCGAACGAAATCGGAACTCACAGCCTCGGAGAAATTAGACCTCGTTCTCAAGAAATCATATGCCAGGCGGAATCCCATTTACACTATCAAGTCTTTATTTCTTGTCTTCATTTACTCCAGCATACAATGATCTGCACAACATGATGGACTCCTCTGTATATTAAAATACTGCTTTTTGAAATTAACCTTAAACTTCCCTGCCTAGTGCCTACTTAGTCTTCCCATCATGTTTTCTTTTGAAATTAATTGAAAGTTTGCTTTGTAATGAAAGCTTTTAGTCGACACCACCGGCCAAGACCGAAATCCATTTTTTTCCACCTGCTTCTAGATTAGCAACAGTAGTCAGTAACATTGATATGCCATAATGCCAATTTTTTGACAAATCCTTCATTTACTAAGACATAAGAAACAAATTAATAAGTCGATCTCATACTGTGAAATATGTACCTTTCAACAAGGTATCATTATCAATGGCGGAACCTTTATCCCCAACGTGGTCAATTAATTAGGTATCAGTCCCCCCTTACGTACCCTATATCGCTGTCATTCCCAAAATCACGGTAGGTAAGCATATGCTCTAAAAGCAAAGCCAAGAAGAAGCATAACAAAGATAATTATTTCATGTAATAGAAGTTATGACAGCTATATAGTAATTAGTTTCTTACTCGCAGACGTGCATGTTTCGCATGGGTGTTATATATTATGCTTTTATTTGCATTGCAATGACTTCAGATTCGTCTTTATTTCTTTAATATTTTGGTCCTTGCATTCGAAATGACACTGAGAGTAAAGAAACAAGAGACCTACATAGGACTAAAGACATAGACTAACTAGGACCCTTTAATTTCTTTTTCCTGGTTAAAGGGTTTAGTTTAATTTCTTGGAGACATGCAAAGACAAATTTGCAGTAATAAACAAAATCATTAGTTCTTATAAGTAATTAAAAATGATAAAATACATAAGGTAAATTGTAATTATTATAGAGGTATTCACACATCCATTTTTACTTTAACATACCCCTTTGTTGATTTTTGTCATTTGATATTTTTCAATTCATTCGATTAGACAACAGGAAATTGAAAGAGATGCGTGAGAAGTAAAATGGGTGTGTGGATAGTATCGCTCTTATTATATCATTATTGTTGTTGTTTTTGTTTGATCAGACCTCGGGTGCCCCCTTCCTACATGGGACTTGTTATTATTGTTTTTAAATTTTGGGATTTGTCTAGTCATAGTTTGGAGAGAAATATTAAGGAGACTCTCAAAATTGAGATGATCTCTATGGATTTTCTATCACCTCGTATTTTTTACACAATGTTTCCTAATGTTGATACGAAAATTAACGTCAAATTGTGAGATGACAGATAGTTCATAAAAAATCTCACTTTGAAATAATATTCTTAACATTTCTCGTTCAACAAATAAGGCCACAAGGAAAGTGATGAGGGAGGGAGGCTTTTCCAAGACTGTTGCCATGCAGCAGATATTTTGTGAACCGGTTAATAAGTCATTTATTTATTAAAGAAAATACAGCATGATTAATTAGCACACAAAACGATCTACAATGTTGGAGAGAAATTGGAAATATGCAAATCGCCACGACATGCTCAAAGCTAAAGGACCACAAACTCCCCAAAACCCCACAATGAAACCAAGAGACACTGAAATATGAAGCCATGGAATTCCATTCGCAGTGTCATCTACATCTTCCCGGTTCTTAGTCGTATCACCTGGACGCTTCTTCTGGCACTCATTTGGAAGCGGGAAACCGCAAAGTCCTGGGTTACCCTCAAAGGCAGTGTCATTGAATCCTTGGAGCTGAGTGCCTAATGGTATATTGCCTTGGAGGTTATTGTAGGCAACACTAAATGAAGACAAGAAATGAAGACTTGACAGTGAGGCTGGGAGTTCGCCCGAAAAATGGTTTCTTGAGAGGTCTAACCTCTCCAAGTTTGGGAGGTTCGATATTTGGTTTGGAATGTTGCCATAGAAGTTGTTGAAACCAATATCCAATTCTTGAAGAAGTTGCAATTTGCCAATCTCAAGGGGTATTTTGCTGCTTAGGCTGTTGTTCCTGAACCTGATTGTATTTGGCATGTTGGATATATATTTGTACTGTAAAATAGTTGCAGACCCATGAATGCTTTGGTAGTAGACGGGCAACTCAAAATCACCATGGCCTGTTAGAGTTCCATCCCGTTTTGTCACGAAAGCTTGTAGTTCACAAAGCTCCTTCGGAAATTCACCTGAAATGAAGTTATTATTCAAGTTTAAAAAGGAAAGACTTGGAAGAGTCCCCAACCAACCAGGTATTGAGCCTACAAGTCTGTTAGAAGACAGATCCAGCACTTCCATTTTCTCAAGCTTTGACAGCCATATTGGTACCTTGCCTGTCAATTGGCACCTTGACAAGCTGAGAACCGAGAGATTTTGGAACCCTGATGAATCAACCATGAGATCACCATCTGGCATTTCTTCACCAAGAAAATTACTTGTAAAAAGGAGTACCCTTAAACTTTTGGAATCCTTCAATATCTTCATTGCCCCTGTGACATTGGTCAACCTGTTATTAGAAAGTGAAAGGAATGACAAGGATTTCAAAGAAAGAATCCCATGCTGTAATTGTCCTTCTAGATCATTTGAGCTCAGTCGAAGTGCTATCAAGGACTTGCATGAGTAAACACTTATTGGCAAGGGACCGGTGAACTTATTATTCATAAGGTCAAGTTTAATAAGTTTAGTAAGCTTGGTGAAATTAAGCACGGAGAGATCTCCTTCGAATTGGTTGTATCCTAGATTCAATTCTGTAAGGCTTGAGCAATTCATCAAAGATGTAGGCAGATAACTCTCTAGATTGTTAAAATGGAAGGTTATGATCTTCAATCTTGAGAGCTTCCCAATATGGAAGGGAAGCGCACCGCTCAGCTGATTCAAGTAGAGATCCAGGATTGTGAGGTTGGTAAGATTGGAAATATTCTCACCAATGGGTCCGGAAAGCTTATTGGAAGGCAATGAAATTTCTTCAAGTGCTTGAGCGTTGTGGATATCAGTTGGAAGTGTCCCCAATAAGTTGTTGAAACCTGCACGAAAGAGCTCCAACTTTGAACAGTTACCGATTCCAAGTGGGATTATGCCACTGAACTCATTATGGGAGAAATCCAAAAGTCTAAACGAAGAAGAATAAAAACAGATAGAGGACGGTATTTGGCCTGTAAGGAGATTATTGCTGACATTTAAATTTCTCAAATTCCAGGCACGCTGGAGGAACGAAGATGGGATTGTTCCGTTGAATTGATTGCTGGATAAGTCCACCAATCGGATATGACTTGATGGTAGAGATAACGGTACTTCTCCAGAGATAAAGTTGTAGCTCAAATCAAGGATATTAAGGCGACTCAAGGACAGAAAGAATCCAACTTCCAGGTGACCAGAAAGTATATTGTGGGAGAGATTGAGGTGGGAGAGATGCGTGAGATTTCCAAGAGATGGAGAAATGACTCCTTTGAGGCGTTTGGAGGGCAATAACAAATGGGTGACCCTACCAGCCATATTGCAAATAATGCCCTCCCATCGACAACAATCGTTGGAAGACCAGTTTAAACTAGAAGAAGCGATATCAAACGAAGACAAAAGAGAGTGTTGGTCCATTTTGCTGCATGCAGCATGGGTTGTAGAAATAATGCTTGCGATAAACAAGATGAAGAGGAGGACATATGAATTATTAGTTAGACGATTAGGCTTCACTACCATAGTTCTTGTTGGAGTTGCCATTGACATATAAGTACGTTAAGACTTCTCACTGGTTTGTTATATATAGTGCCATGGTACATGCATATGTAGATATTGCAAGCAAAGAACAATATTATGTTCTTTTACATATAATTTTTCAAATGAAAATCTGTTTCTTTTGACTACAATGCATTTACGTAGTGGCATATCAGTTTAATGATTATGCTAATCTAGTACCAGCTGGGGCAGCAGGTGAAAAGGGATCATGTTGGTCTTGGTCTGTGGTTTTGGTCGGAAGTTTCAGTTTCAAGAAAACCTGATGGATAGAAAGGCAGCAAAGAAATTAAGAATAAACTTCAATATTCAGAGACGTCTACGATGAAGAAATAAATAAAATATTTGATTACTGGGATTGCACGATGGATGCTTTTTGAGATCAGGACAAAAATCTCCCCAAGATTTGATAACGAAAATTATGCTATGCGAATAGTAAGATATATGTAAAATAAATTTGTACTGAAACATTCCTAGACAAGTTATTGACAGCATAAACATATACCCAACTATGTGGAAGACGTAGCAATTGGCCAATATCAGTAATAATGTGCCTAGCTACATTGATTTTTCCAGCGCTTGTAGTCTCCAATGTTCCTTCGGAAGTTTACCTGAAAGTTAGTTGTTATTCGAGGCTTCCAGTTTCTTGAGCTTTGACTTGGTCGTGTGACTGGTGTCCCCAAAGAAGCAGCAGCTGGTAGTGAGCCTGTCATTCTATTGGAAAACAGATTCCAAGCATCTAGTTTCATGTGTTTTGACGGAACCTACAAGATTCTTTGTGTTGAACAGTTTAGTGTAGCAAGAACTTTTGTTGAATAGTTTAGTGTAATTTATCTCTTATTATAAGTATAAGATCTTAAGTTCAATTTTCGTGTAAGTTGGATTTAATTATAATTAATTCATTATGTGGCTAAAAATAGGTATTAATTTTTCTGGTTATGAATATAAGTATGTTCTGCCAGTCATTATTGGTCAATCTGTTTTGTGCAATTGGAAGGACAGAATTTAACAAAAGAATCTGAGGTTTGAAAATGCTCAATGAGAGAATCTGAGGTAGTTTGTGAAAAGGGAAAAGAACAAAGTATATATTACTTTAGTATTCAGAATACACATGAAACATTTGATTTGACCTGGTATTTTAAAATATTGGAATAAAAGATAGTCAACTAGGGCTAGAGCTTATACCCTTAGCTAGTTTCTAGGGCTAAGTTTCTAGGGCACAAAGTGGGACAAAGTTGGGAAAGACGTTTCAAATTTAACAAGTCTACTCTACTCATTTTTTAAACTTTGAAGAAGCAAAGTTAATTAATTGTATCAGGCTTTTGATTCACCCAGCTGTGTAAGATTCCTTTTTGTTTTTAAGTAAGAGATAGTCGTCCATTAACATCATCTTGAGTCGTCAAATGCAAAAGAGATCCTCTATCCCCTATTCTCTTCGGATCCCTTCCACTTAATCATTTTTATCAAACAATTTGAATCCTTTAAAATTGATTCAACAGCTACAAATTTAATCCAAAACCAACTCAATAAGAGATTTTTTTTTCTTTCTAATATAAGCAATGTTGGGAAATGAAGTAATTTTTGTGTGCAGAAGTAAATACGTAATGTGAAACTATAAGCACAAAAGAGGGTACAATGAAATAGACACCTTTGCTATTGGGATGTTGAAGCGAGATGTTCTAGAAATGCGTGGTGGTGGCCATGTGAAAGTCATAGTTGGTGAGCGGTGATGGTGGGGTGGTGATGGTGGTAAGCTTAATATCTAGGAAATCGAAGGAGATTGCGCAACTATGCAAGACTTGTACTATAAAATTAATTATTAATGTGGGGAGTGATCCAATTTATCCTTATAATAAGTCTTGGAAGATTTGGTTCATCTTCTTTGACCTTTCAAATCTTTATACACTCCATCACGTGTGACAAAATTTCAAGTCTATAACATGAAACTTACAACAACTAATTAGTATTTAACCACTCTCTCAGTTATAACAATTTTACCTTACCTACCTCTAATCTCCCTTTGAGATCTCAAACGTCCTACTTATTACTCTTACAACAGAGTGGTGGCAACGACGGTGCGTAGAATTGTTTTGGTGGCAATGACGGTGGTCATCATGGTAATGCCAAGGTGATGGTATTGGAGCTACGATGGTTGTTGGGGTTGGCGGCAGCAACAATAGTTGTATCTGTAGTGTTGGTGATGGTGGCGTTAATGCCTTAATGGCGACATACATGATTTTTTTTTTTTATTTAGAATTTCACATCATGAAATTTTAGAAATGACAACTTTACATAAAATTTAAAGTTGAAATTTGCAATTTCATTTTTTTTCACATGAATTAAAAAATTCTATACTAATAAATTCAGACAAAAAGAATTTGTGTATATCAATCTGAAAATTCCTAATTTTTTTTTTTTGTAAATTCAGATGAATTCATACATTATTGTTGATGATTCAATTATACTTAAGTGGTTTTTTTTTTTGTCAAATAATAGATTTTGTCATATTAGATGTTAGATTTGTCACCAACGAAGTTTGAATCTACGCCGTTATACAATTGCTTAACAATTTTCCACCACTGTAATAAAGAGTATAATTTTTAATTTTTAATCTAAAAAATTAGTCTATCTAACATTACTCCTCTTATTTCTTTTCCGGATTTGGATCCTCTCCAAGGCAACTGGTCAGATCCTCCTGACCGATGCTTGTGGACCGTTGAATTTTTATCCAACGACTACAATTATTATAACTTTTAGAGGCCCCATATTTGTAACCGTTGAATTTTTATCCAACAGTCCACAAGCACCAATCAGGAGGATCCTGCCTCGGAGAGGATCCAAATCCTTCTTTCCGACATTCCACTCATTCCATATCTGCTGGTGGGACAATTACGTGATTGGGTTATTTTTTATCTTTTTTTGTTTCTTTTCCGACAGTTCACCCACGACATGTCCCCTATGGAACAATTACGCACTACATGTCCCCTAAGGAACAATTTCGCGATTGTTTATCGTTTATGTTTAGTTGACGGCTCCATCTCCAGATTCTCTATATGTTTTATCTTTTTTGAATTATTTATACGCCGTGTACTGAAACCTGTGGGCGAGCAAAAAAAAAAAAAGAATTATTTGCAGCTGTCGTGACTTGTATTACATGATATGATTTATCTTCGTTATTCATCTTGGTTTTACACTTTTACTGTAACTGGATTTTGTTCCGAATCCAGTACTGTAATTAATAGGATATAGATTTGAGACTTTAATCTGAATCCAATGTAATTAATGATCCAAATCTGGTATCTCTTCGCTTAACGATTCAAAAATTGATTGTATAGCAAATATGATTTGACAATAATCGGATCCAGGTACCGATAGTCCGTATCCATTCCGACTTAATATATATAGAAATACCCTGTTTTAATCATTTTGAGATTAGCTATAATGTTCTTATGAATATTAGGTTTAGGGTTTTGTGGGAGTTTTCCATATCACTTATGAGACTCAATTCCATGGGTTCATGGGCATTTGCTGTTGGGAGATGTGGAAGGAGCGATGCGAAATTATATATGTTGGGGGATCGTATTGTCCTCGCCCTGCTAGCTGCGCCCTACAATGGTTAACGTTGCTGCACCTACAATGGATAACATTATGTTTGAATGAAGAGATTTAAGATTACTAAGGAATTTTAAAATGATGGAAATTGAAATGACAAGATTTTATTTTCTAAAATTTGTAATTTTCTTGTTTGGTTAATCTAAAAGAACAATGGAATTAAATACTGAAATATGAGGGCAACTGGTCAAAAATATGAGGGCAGGCGTATCAAATATGAATTTATACGAGGGCAAGCGAGCAATTTCTTTTGGTGGCTTAGGCACGAAAGGAACCAGATTAGGTTTGAGAACAAAAGTTTTGGCACTGTCGCATCCCAATGTCGTCTTTTACGGCATTGGAGGGATTCAGCTTCTATTTATTTTTCTTCTTTCACTGGTTGAGTATCGATTCCCATATTCTCCATGTTAAGAATTTCATCCCTTTCTTTGGATGCTCTTAGTTTTGTGCCTGTGTTTTGGCGTCCGCCTCTTGTTGGGTGGATTAAGATTAACATAGACGGGTCTTGTAAAGGGAATGGTCAGGTGGGTAGTGGTGGTGTTTTTCGTGACTCTAGTGGTCTTTTTTATAGGAGCATTTGCCTCCTTGTCTTCTTATCCAAATGCAGTTGTTGCAGAGATTATGGCTGTGATTGAGGCAATTCAGATTGCATGGGATAAAGAATGGTATAACATTTGGTTAGAGACAGATTATATGCATGTCATCAGCCTACTATCAAGCATATGATACAGGCAGACGCCCAAACTCCACCAAAAGAGAATACCATACAATGCAATCGATCGGCATCTTCTTCAAATTTTGTTGGCACCTCCACCAGGGAGCTCCAGCCTCAAAAGTGTAGTTCCCATCATCCCAAGATATCTGACATGCTTGAAGACCAATACACCAAGATAATTGGAAAACAATGTGGTACGTAAGAATGTAAAGACTTTAAGTGCAACTCCTTAAAAGCCAAACCAATTCCAATGCAGGGCTTGAAATAGACTATTACCTTCTGAAATGAGTCTTGGAGCCAATTTAACTGGACGCATGTATCGAGTAATTGTTCCAATTGGCACAGGAGCAGCGGCAAGAATACAAGCTCCGGGTTGGAGGCAGCAAAGGAGCTCCTCAGCTTCTGAGTTATCGGAGTCTGCCCTCCCCCTCCCAGTAAT